GAGCTGCAGTGCCACCACCTTCTCAACCACCTTTCCCATAAAGGGGAGGTGGGAGACTGGACGAAAATTATCCAGAGCAGTAGGGTCAGCGATGGTTTCTTGAGGAGTGGGCACACCAGCGCCTCCTTAAAGGTTGCTGGGAACACCCCCTCTCTCAAGGATGTATTAACCATCGCCAGGACCCAACCACACATCCCTTCCCTGGCTGCCCTCACCAGCCAGGAGGCACATGGATCTAAAGGGCATGTGGTGGCATTTACAGTCTGGAGGATCCTGTCCACTTTCTCAGGACCAACAGGATCAAACTGGTCCCAGATAACTCAGCAAAGACATTCTCCGGGCATCTCTCCAGACCATGCCTCACACTTGGCGTCCAACTTAACGGATCTGAGTGACTTTATCCTCCAGATGCTCAGAAAATTCCTCAGCACGGCCCTGTAGGTGGTTTTCTGAACCCCCTCTCCCCAACAGGGATCGGGTGATTCTAAACAGGGCCACTGGGAGGCATTCTCCGGATGCAGTAAGAGCGGAGAAATACTGACATTTTGCCACTCTTACTGCCACAAGGTAGGCCTTAACCGCAGCTCTAGCTTGTGTTCAGTCGGGTTCAGTCCTTGTCTTCTTCCAGCGGCGCTCCAGGTGTCCCTTAACCCTCTTCAGAACCCTCAGCTCCTCCGTAAACCATGGGGAGCGACGAGCTCAAATGGGCAAGAGAGGCTGCACAGGCGCAATCCTGTCTAAGGCCCCAACCGCCACCTATTCCAGTCAGCAGCCAGAGCCTCCACTGGACCATGCAGCAAGACCTCGGGGATAACCCCCAGCTCCTTCTGAAACCCTAACGGGTCCATCAGTCACCAGGGCTAGACCGATCGAATAGGTCCTGCCTCCCTGCAGAGGGGGGGGCGACATGCAAGAACCTCAAGGCCACCAGGGCATGATCTGACCATGGCAACGGGGAAAGATGTAACTCTCCCCTCAGGTCCCGTTGCCACTGCTCCGACAAGATTAAATCCAGTGTGAGTCCACTGTCTCGAGCTGGGTCCCGAATAATTTGAGTCAGGCCCATGGTGGCCATGAACTCCTGGGCTGCCTCCGAGGTTCATCCCAGGGATGGCAGATTGAAGTCCCCCAGAACCATAAGCCTGGGGGACTTCACCACCAGGGAGGCTGGTACAGCAGCAACACTCCCAACTTGAAAAACGGTCTCACAACCAGTTACTTGTGGAGCAGGGCCCCTGAAGGCCACTAGAGATTCTTGGATGGTCACAGCCACCCCACCTCCCCTGCCCTGGCATCTCGGCTGATGCCACACCTAAAACCCAGCCGGGCACATTTCTGACAAAGCTGCTGCTCCTTCCGGGCCCAGCCAAGTTTCAGTAATACGTGCCAGGTCTGCCCCCTCCTCCTTGATCAGATCACATATGAGGGGGGCTTTGTTATTGACTGACCTGGCATTGAGCAGGGTTACTGTTTAATATCCAGTTCTGGCCATTCTTAATCAGGCAGTCTCTTGTCCCATTGCTTTTCCTTTTTTTCTCCTTATCTGTTCTCTCTGTTTAGCAGAAGTTGTTAGCGCTCATATCAGCAGCACACACTAACCGGGAATCTAGATTATGACGCAGGAGTTGGCATTCTGAGAAGCTTGGCTTTATTTTCCAGAGTGTACCTTG